ATTTTGTGACACTGCTGTTGAATTGAATTTTGTGTGGTTTACATGCGAAGAACACGATATTCAATAAATAGAGGTAACACACAAAGCGTTTAAAAACGTCCCGTTGAGCGTAACATAAAATCTGAGTGCTTCCAGATTTTATTTATTTATTTTCATTACACTGAGAAACGTTTATGCTCCGAATTTTATAAATTATTAAAATAAATAATCAATGAATGATCGTCTTGTAATGTTATAATAATTTAAAAACCACTGCCTGAAAATGCTCATAAAATTTAAATATATATCAAATCTTCCTTAATTTTGCTTTATTTCTTTCAAAGCTTCATGTACTATCATTCTTATTTAATTTTACTTTATTTGCACTCAAAAGTAAATTCATAAATTTTGTGTTTAGAGTTTTTACTGTTTTACCAAAGTAGAAATGTTTATACAAGAATTATGCGTGAAAAGAATGCGCAAAATGCAGTAAAAAGTGCTTTAAAGAGATATATTAAATCTTATTTGAAAAATCTGTGACTATCATAATCTCATCACCTTATACAACGTATCACATTTAATAATTAAAATCAATTATTTGATTCAAACGCCATAGATTTCAGTGTTAAAGTAAACCAGATCGTCCCTACTCTTTCTTGCGTACATGTGGGTAACGCGCGCCCCGCCCACTGGGCTAGTCTATCTCTTATAAGATCCATGAATAACTGAAGTCGTATGCCAAAAATTTGAAAATGTAAACTTCGATGTAAAATGTCGATCGGAAAAACTTTAAGGAATGGTGGTTCGAGGGCGATTCAACTGATTCGGACTTTCAGTGCTTGAGTTCTGTGGATCAGGCGTCGCACGTGTACTTGCATGAGATCCGACTCATCATATCCCATTGATCTGTGAAAGGATCTGAGTGCTGTGGATATCGTTTCAAATGCCAGAAGAATAGAAGAGGCAGAAAGTGATATTGAAGATACAAGCGAAGAAGTTACTAGCAATTACATTATTCACGAGACAGCAATGACTTCTATTGTAACTCTATTGGGATCGAATACAAATGCAACGATAAAATAGCACTTCGAAAAATAAGCAGTGAAATTCGACAGATATTTAAATGGGCTCAAAAACAAAGTAAAATGAATGATTTCTTTTAAAGAAATAAATATATACAATATGCATCAAAACTGCTAGTTTGGATCATCCGTGTTCATAGGTTATCCGTGATTTACTTGGACGGCATTAGCCTACATAATCGTGAATATAGTACTGTAATTTTATTTATTTTATAGAAAGCGCTACTGGCGGAACTTCAAAATAACACTTTATTACATATCAACATAATAGGCTAAATTATTTAAAATTCAATTTAATCTTCTGCGTTTTAGTAACACTTTGCAACACACATGATTTTAAAATCTTTAGTGCAGTGAACCAAATATCTTACTAATACTGTGTAATATTGCGATTGCAAAATTTCTAACTCAGCCTTTTATAGACACTATCATCTGCATTTCAGATAAAATCCAATAATAATAATAATGAACATTTTGTACCTATCATATGAACTGCAATCTTTTTTTTTTTTTTTTTACATACAGCAACATACTACACTGTTTTAAAGTTCTAAAATACATTTGAATACCGAAGGAGGTACCACCATTGAAGAAGGTTGCTATTAAAGGTGATATTGGTTAATCTGACGCCTGGATATGAATGGAACAACTTTTGATATAAAAATATATCTTAATATACACACAGGAATGAGACACGTACCGGGAGCATTGTGTAGCGGTCTTTTTACTTCAACAGCACCTCCCAAAACAGACCGTGAGGTGAGACAGAAGATGTGACGTAATAAATAACAGGCGATGTGAGCCTCTTGTTGACTGGCTGATTGTGGCGCCTCTCGCTCGCATGATGAAATGCTACAGAATACGCCCCCAGTGACGAATTCACGATTACAAATTATAACAATTACAATATACACACAAAATGATCACATAACGCTATATAAGTGAAATGTAGCACATGAAATAAAATATAATAAAAATATACTATTCATATTTATAAATGCAGTGTGAACATTTGCATAATAGAAAACGTTAATAGAGTACAGTTTTTTACTCAAGGAATGTAGTCCATGACTAAGTGCTTAAAAAATCGATCTTACTCCCACTTTTAGTTGTAGACGTTTGATTAAAATATCGTGGGGAATAGAGATGAAACTGGAAGAGGTAAAGATGAAATATGCGTAATGCCATTTGGCAGGTGGTAAGCAGGTTTTACGCCATAAATTGAAACTGTAATACGTTTTCTGTTTACATCAATAATAAAATTCTTATCATTTCTATCAACGACTAAATGAGGTCCAGTATAAGGCGGTATCAATGGAGGATTAACTTTATCAGATCTTTAAAAATATACGACAGCAAGTTTTTAATGAGGGGTTGATGAAAATTTTGGGATTACCGTGTAGGGCAGTATAAATAGGATTTAAAGATCTCATTGCCTGAAGTAAACTGTTTACATATGCAGAATTTAAGGTCTGGTTTATGGTATCACTGGTTACTAGATAGGAAGGTAATCTTAATGTTGTGCCATAAAGAAGCTGTGCAGAAGTTGCTTTGACATTGCCCTTAATGGCTGAGCGTATGCCTAATAGGGCAAGTGGAAGAGTTTCAGTCCATTGTGCTGTATTATGTGCTTTAAGCGCTGTTTTAAGATGCCGATGGAAGCGTTCAATAATTCCATTTGACTGTGGGTGATATGCAGAGGTTCGAATCCCGTTGCACCCAAGTGTGCTATTAAGTTCTCTAAAAAGACAAGATTCAAAATTTTTACCCTGGTCAGATGTAATTGTAACTGGTCATCCAAATCTGGATATCCAGCCATGTACTAAGACCCGCGCGGCTGTTTCCGCAGTCATGTCGGTTATTGGAATAACTTCTGGCCATCTTGTAAACCGGTCTATGATAGACATGCAAAACTGTTTTCCGTCAGATAGAGGTAGAGGGCTTATAAAATCCATATGTATGTGTGCAAATCTAGCAAATGTGTTAAGCAAATGTGCCGATAGGAGATTTGGTAAATTTAACGATTTTAGCTCGTTGACATTAATCACAACTGCGCACAAAAGATTTTATTTCTTTTCTCATGCCTGGCCACACAAAAATTTGCGATTAAATCGATGGAGGCTGAGATACCTGGATGATAGAAAAAATTTAAAGTTTTGAAAACTGTTAATGTCATACACTGAGGAACAAAAGGACGGGGATGTTTTTGTGACATGTCACAAAATTAATAAACAAATTAAGAGATTAATATCCTCGAGAGGAAAATAATGTTCCTCTAATTTTAAAGAAGGGGGGTATTGGATGCTAAAAGTTGTTGAAGTTCTTCCATTGCTTAATTGTGCACCGCGAAGTTTTGAAAATCGATCACACTGGATGAAATATCATCGATCTCAATTCGGGCTAGTGCATCGGCGACAATGTTATCAGATTCATTAGTATATTCAATATGAGTGGTAAACTGGGAGATAAAATCCAAATGGCGTAATTATCAAGGACTGCATTTGTCAGGATGTTGCTAGAATGCAAATTTAAGGGGTTTCTAATCAGTATAAATGACAAAATTTCTCCCTTCAAGCATATGCCTAGATTTCTTGACTGAAGAGTAGATAGCATAGAGTTCACGATCATAAGTGGACCAAGGTTCTTTGAGATTTGTTTAGTTGAATAGAAGGCTATAGGTTCCCATTGCTGTTTCGCAAGTCGCATGAGCGAGGCTTCGTGTTGGGAATGTCATCACTACGCCAGCGAATTAAAAGCCAGATAGAGACTGACGTCATGGGACGCCAGTGAAAAACTAACAGTTGCGGTTTAGATAGCTAAGGACAATGTTTGCATAATGTAGTTAGATAGATATTGTAGTTAGATAGATATTGTAGCTAGATAAATATTTCTTATTTATTTAACTTGTACTTATGTGTAAATAAACCTTTTTGCTTAAGTTTAAATGAAGTGCTCCATTTATGATAAGATAGCTGTTAATTCATCGGGTAGATGACTTATGAATCCCTTCTGAGCTAGCCATTGTTCGAACGTAACGCCTTACGTAACATAACATTTGTGGCGCCGTGACGTGGGGCGCGATAGCAGCTGAAATAAATTGAAAATGGAGCTTACACAGCTGAAAACCGAGCAAAATGTCTAAGAACTTCCTTTACCAGATGTGCAAACAAAATTGATGCAGAACTGAAATCAGATATTCCTGATTTGAAGCTACTTTCGATTCTGGAACAACAGCTTAGAGACAAATTTAATCGACTTGAAATTTGCCAAAAGGAAGTAACGTTGCTAATTATACAATCTAAAGAAGCTGTAAAGCTATATGGAGAAGATTTTATTTCGTCTGAGCCTTATAGAGATAAATATTTTGAACTGTGTTCTCAAATCGAAAAGCTGTTGAAGAATCCTTTACCTACCGAATTACCAGAGAAGCGCAAATTTAAACTGCCGAAGATCGAACTAAAGAAATTCAATGGTGAAGCAAAATAAATTTTGACGTTTTGGAGCCAGTTTTCGAAGATCCATGAAGATCCGACGATTCCAGATGAAGATAAATTCCAGTACCTCCTGCAAGCAGTTGTTCCTCAGTCCAAAGCCGCATGGGTAGTGGAGAGCTTTCCGGCAACGGCGTCGAATTATCCGAAAGCAATCGCCCAGCTTCGAGAGAGGTTTGGAAGAGAAGACTTAACTTGTTCAGATATACGTCAGAGATCTTCTAAGCATGGTTATGCGTAATGCAAGCAGTGGACGTGTGAAGCCGGATCTTCCCACTCTCTATGATGATTTAGAAACCAAGATTAGAGCTTTAGAAAGTCTTGGAAGAACGCAAAAGAAGTATGGTGATTTCTTAACGCCTTTAGTTGAATCCTGCCTGCCCGAAGAAGTATTAATTGCTTAAGAGAGAAACAGAAATTTAAAAGAAGCACCTCAGCCTGATGACCGATGCAACAAGAAGTGAAAGGAGAAGAAATGGTCATGTTAGCCCGCACTGGTTTTGGTTCTAATCATATTTCTAAGAAAAAGGATACACTAAATAAAAATCTAGATTCCGCCACCACAGCTGCGTTAGTAAGTACTTCAAATTCTGAGAGCCTAGGTAAGCGCAATTTTAACTGTCTCTTTTGTGAAAAACGGCACCCAACTAAAGAATGTTTTTCTAATAGAAAAATGACATTAGAAGCTAAGAAAAATATATTAATTAAAAAAGGTGCCTGCTTTGGATGTTTCAGATTGGGGCACACTTGTAAAACATGTTGAGTAAAAAATTCTTGCATGTACTGTAATAAAAATAACCATTCTTTAATGTGTCCCAATCGCCAAGAAAAAAGCGCAAATGAAAAGTCTAGAATTGATGTAACTGAAACCAGTACATTAACTAATAACTGTAAAATAGAAAATGTTTATTTAATGACTCTAATAGTTAAAATTAAATTTAAGAATGTTGAGCTTAAAGTACGCACATTACTGGATACAGTTTCTCAGCATTCGTATGTCACTAAAAAATTAGTACAGAATTTAAAATTAAAACCATTAAGGCAAATTAAATTGAAGCATTCGTTATTCGGGGGAAGAGAAACGCGAACGCAGATTTACGATGTTTATAATTTGTTGATTTCGGCATTAGATGAAACTTTCTCCTTTCAAATCGAAGAATGATAGTGAAATTCTTAATGAACTGAAAGATAAGAGGCGTTAGTTTGTCTGACTTGGGTTCTTCGAATCATGAGATCGGTCTGCTTTTGGGAGCGGATATTGTGGTCGATTTATTTACTAATAAATCTGTTCGGTTGGAGTCAGGGTTATTTTTGATTGACATTTGTTTGGGACATGTGTTAACTGGGAAGTATGAGTCATTTGGAGATAGCAATGATGATACTGTTTTGAATACAATTTCGTTGTGTGTTAGTAATTATTAGATAAAAGATTTATGGTCTTAAGAATCCATAGGTATTTCAGATCCCATTGAAAATAATAGAAAGAATTTAGAGTTTTGGAAGAGTTTAAAAATAATGTGAAAATTCTTTCGGACGGTAGATATGAACTTTGTTTACCTTTTAAATTTGATGTGGTCGATTTGCCGACAAATAAAGATTTAACTTGGAAGCGGCATAAAAGGATGTGCCAGCGAGCACAAGATAAAGCATTTTTAGAAGAATATACTACGATTTTCCGGGAATGGGAAAAATTGAATATACTTGAAAAGGTAACTGATAATATTGAGACGGGACATTTTTTACCTCATCGGCCAGTAATTAAGGACAGTACCACTACAAAAATCAGACCTGTCTTTAACGCGTCAGCCCGAGAAAGGGTCCGAACTTACTAGAAAAAGTTCCAGACATACTTGATAGGTTTCGAATTCATCCAATAGGATTATCATCAGATATTGAGAAAGCATTTCTGATGCTATGTATAGCCCCTCAACATTGGGATTTCTTGCGGTTTTTTTATCCGTCAGAGAGAGAGAAAGCAGATTGTTTACCGACATCGCAGAGTAGTATTTGGTCGAGTCCATTTTTATTAGCAGCCTCAATTACACATTTATTAGATAATGTACCATCTGAATTTGATGCTATAGCACAAAAACTGAAACATTCTTTTTACGTAGACAATCGTGTTTCTGGCGTTGCAAACATTGAGGAGGAGGAAAATTTTATTGTAAATGCAAAAAATATTTTGTCACGGGGTTGCTTTAACTTAAGAAACTGGGAGAGTAATGTAAAATGTAAGTATGTTTCTAATAGTACTGGTGTCACGAAAGTATTGGGAATTTTGTGGTATCTTGATAAGGACACACTTAAGTGTAATTTAAACTTTAATCTTGTAAGTGAAGATCAGAATTTTACTAAGAGAATCATTTTAGCTACAGTTCAGAAAATATTTGATCCAATAGGTCTGTTGAGTCCTGCAATCTTACCACCTAAGCTTTTATTGCAGGAAACGTGGAATTTAAATCTAAAGTGGGATACTCCCTTACCAGATAATATTCAAATGTCTTTTAAAAGATGGTTTAGAGAAATAGAAGCGTTAAGAGATATCGAAATCTCTCGTTATGTTGAAATAAAATGAATCCACTGAGATGCATGCTTTCGTAGATGCGTGCAAAGGAGCATATGCCACCTGTATTTTTTTAAGAACAAGAACCTCTCAAGGAGTAAAAATTTACTTTGTTAGAGCAAAAACCAGAGTTGCACCTTTGAAGAAAGTAACGATCCCTAGGTTAGAGTTAATGGCTTGTTGCATTGGTGCCAGGTTGGCATATTCAGTGAAGCAGGTATTAAACGCCCATGAGATTAAAACAATATTTTGGAGCGACTCTAGGGTATCTTTATACTGGTTAAAAGAACATGGTGATTAGAGTTTTTGTCTCGAACAGAGTAAAAGAAATAAATAATCTGTTTCCTAATAATGAATGGCGACATGTGCCAGGGAAAATGAATCCCGCTGATCTGATCTCGCGAGGGTGTTCTCCTAAGAAATTGTTAGAATCCTGCTGGTGGAAAGGCCCGGCATGGTTGTTGCAAACAACAGACAACTGGCCTGATACCGAGATATTGACGACAGAAACACCTCGAAATTACATTTGAAAGGAGAAAAGGTTAGGTTATGTAATATTAATTTGTCGGAAGAGAAAGTCCCGTGGTATGCCATTAAATTCTCAAATTTCCATTCAATAGTTAGAATGGTTGCATGGATATTGAGATTTATCAGTAATGTAAGATCGCATCATGATACTAGACGGGGGGGGAGAACTTCTAATGCAGGAGATTGAAAATGCTGAAATTCTGCTTATTCGTAATGTTCAAGTTCAATTTTTTGCCTAGTGAAACCTCTCTATTCGGAACTTGTGTGTTTTCAAAGATGTGAACGGAATTATCAGAGTTAAAACTCGAATTACTGAACGCATAGATAAGCCTTTCTTCATTTCACCTATTCTTCTTCCTGATAAATGTATCTTTACTCAAAGACTGATTGAATATTTTCACCGAGAAAACTGTCATGCTGGAACCCAGATATTACTAAGTATATTGCGTGAAAAGTACTGGATTACAAGAGGAAGAAGAGCGATACGTAGTGTTCTGAAGGACTGTATTAAATGTCGACGATACAAAACTAAATCTCTCATCACTGAACCATTTTCTTTACCTGCTGATATAGTGGAAAATGCAGCAGCTTTCGAAGTAGTTGGTATTGACTTAGCTGGTCCCCTATTTGTAAAACGTGGGAACAAAGTATGGATGGTTTTCTACACGTGTGTTCTTTATAGAGCAATTCATTTAGAGTTAATAACATCGCTTTCCACTGATGCTTTTCTGTTATCATTTAGACGTTTTGTTGCTAGAAGAGGAAGACCTAGAGTGGTTTATACAGATAATGGTACAAACTTTAGGGGAAGCTTATAATAATTTGTTAGAAATTGATTGATTGGAGTAAAGTAAGAACTCGACAAACAGAAATACAGAAGATCGAATGGAAATTCATTCCCCCCACTGCTGCCTGGTGGGGCGGATGGTGGGAAAGACTTGTTCGAGTAGTCAAAGAACTCCTTAGGAGAACATTGGGCAGAGCTGTTCTTACCTATGTAGAACTGGAAACAGTTATGTGCGAATGTGAAAGGGTAGTAAATTCGCGCCCCTTTGACATATTTGTTCGAAGATACAGAAGACTTAGTTCCACTTACACCTGCCATGTTTTTGACCGATAGATCCAATTTAGATGTAACTGATATAGACACAGTAGACACCAATCATCTCAGGAAAAGAATCAGATTTCGTGCAAAATTAATGGAAGATCTCCGAGTACGTTTTCGAAAGGAATATTTAGGACTACTTATTCAGAAACGACAGCAAAATTCACAATTTCCAAATATTTGGGTGAATGACGTTGTGTTGATAGGAGATGATATCAAGAAAAGATTGAATTGGCCTTTAGCCAGGGTTACGGAACTGATTCCAGGAAAAGACGGTAAAGTGAGAACAGTTAGATTAAGAACGCAAACTAACAATTTAGTACGTCCGATACAACTAGTGTTTACTCTAGAAATCCAAGATGATGATTTGTCAGGTTCATGTCATCCAAGTGATCCTCAAAAACATTAATCTGCTGTAAAGTTTTCAGATTCGTGGAGACGACTTGAGTACCTCTCATCATTCAGAAATTTCTGGGTCTTCCGATGTATGTGACAGTTCTAAGACTATAAAGACACGAGCTGGTAGAACTGTTAAGATGCCACTTAGACTGAGCTTGATACACTTGAATGTTTTGAGTAGCTATCCAACAACTCAAAGGGGGGAGAGGATGTTGGGAATGGCATCACTACGACAGCGAATCAAAAGCCAGATAGAGACTGACGTCATGGGACGCCAGTGAAAAACGAACAGTTGCGGTTTAGATAGCTAAGGACAATGTTTGCATAATGTAGTTAGATAGATACTGTAGCTAGATAAATATTTCTTATTCATTTAACTTGTACTTATGTGTAAATAAACCTTTTTGCTTAAGTTTAAATGATTTGAAGTGCTTCATTTAAGATAAGATAGCTGTTAATTCATCGGGTAGATGACTTATGAATCCCATCTGAGCTAGTCATTATTCGAACGTAACATAACACGTCGACTGCCACATCAGGCGCATCGACCCTTAGACTTAATTGTGTATTGGGCGTGGAATGCCGTAACAAGGTTGCTGATTAGCTGATTGCGGCGCCTCTCGCTCGCACGGTGAAATAACTGTGAAATAACAACCTCGATCTTTCCTAATTTATACCATCATGTGTAGAAACAATTATAGAAAATGACAAAGTTTTTAAACTTTAAATTATTTTTTGAATTGTATATAAATTTTATTTAATATTAAAAATATAGTTTTTTAATTGCTTACAAAGGTAATTTTTTATCAAACAGTAAGGCTCTTTTTGAGACGTAACACTGCATACAGCTTTCAGAGTTTTATTTATTTATGGAGAACGTAATGACAACAAAAACACTTTTGAAAGAATCTTCAGAAATTAAAACTAACTTGCATTGACATATTGGAAGTGAATGAATTTATGGCGAAATATTCATTTAGAAGAATTGTGCAACAGAAAAGCACAGCTTTTACGCGTAATTATTTTAACACTAATTGTTGCTATCAATTCGATTTTATGCTTGATTTCACTATCTTATTATACGAGCAGATTTTTTTTACGCATACCTTGATTTTTAGCCCTGAAATTAAACCTCTTTTAATTATTAGTGATTACTCTTTAATTATCTTTCCAAAATTTATGAATCATTTACTAATCATAATTTCTCAAATATAGTATATAGGTATCGTGAAATTTTGGTTTAAGAACTGCGTAAAAACTAATATATGCTTCTGTTCTTTTTACATTCGGAATTTTGTACAGTGCTGACATCTATCGGAGACTGCTTAAACTTTTTTACTGGTGTAAAAAAGATAATACAATTATTGCCACAGCTTCCACAATCCAAAAATATTTTATTATTATCATTTAGCAAGTTGTCTGATTTTGGTGCCAAAATAGAAAGTTTTATGTGTTAAAAGAATAAGCCATCCACACATAAGGAGTTATAGTCTTAGTTTTTATTATAGTAATAAAGTTATTATTATGAATAGCAATAAAGCATTTCTGAATTATTTGCTTTATTCTTGCTAGCATGATAAAATGTGTTCGGCGTATGTGATACAATACTGTATAGATAATAATTTTGCAAGTTTGTCACTTTCGAGATAGTCTGAAGGAGACAAACGCAGAATGTTTACTAAATATAAAACTCTTTTGAATGCAGTGCTGAAATATTTATCATATAATATGCAAAAAATACGAAATAAAAATGATTATGAGAGATAAGAATAAAGAATACCGTGCAAGAAAAAAACAAGCTCATTTATTGAAAAAAAGCTCACAATTAAAAATTTACTGAGATTGACTAGCTGCAAAATTAAATTTTTTAAATAGATGAATTTTTGAAAGATTGTTAGATTTACTTAAAAAAGAAAAAAAAAAAAATCCTAAAAGGCTATAAAGCGATAAAAATATTTCATAAAGAAAGATATAAAAAATAATTTGTACTTATGCATTATCTCGTCAACCGTGAAACTATCGTCAAACGGCGCAATTTGACGCCAGTTATGAATAAGCAGGACTTAACAACACACTCATAACACTTGTGTTTTCGTTTGATGCGACCCCGATTGATTCTCGATAAGCCATATTTTGTATTTAGGAACATGGATATAAATTAACTGTTCTTGATGTATTTTGTTTTTGAATTTTGAAACAAATGATTACAGTTTCAGACCTACCTTCTACTGAACAAAAAAACACACACACAAAAAAAAAAAAAAAAAAAAAAAAAAACCTTCTACAGAACAGTCATTTTCTGATGTATTTAGTATTTAAATTGAATTCAAACTAGACTCTATATATAGTTTTCAAGATTTTTTTTGAGAAACAACCTTCTAGTGGTAACAGAAATTAAAGAAATGATCTGAAATCATATTATGGATTAGTTAATACCACGGTCAAATCATGTATTTTCCTCTTACATAATATTTTAAGCTTCTTTTCTTTTTTTTTTTTTTTTTTGTATATTGTTATGTAAATAAAATAAAAGCAAAATAAATTAACTAAAAACATCAATGTTTTCAATGTTTTAAAGTAATGACACACGAAAAATTATAAAAGTTGAGGTAGCAACGAACGGCCGCGCAGACCTCTGCGTGAATCCTGGTAGTTCCATCACAGCCTCCTATATCGCGACTCAATTCAACACATTCTTATGTGTCCTTTTATCAGTGCAATGGGTACAGGCGTGATATTTATAGAAGAAACGCCTGCCCGCATAGTGCTCGAATGGTGACGAGTTATGGTTTCTGGAGAGTGGAAACCATTCCCCATCTGCGGTGGCCTGAACCAGATCACCGGCACTGAATCGCACATAGAGATATGGGGGCCATGTTGGGACGACGACAAGTCGCAGTGTGTCGCCAGGCACCCTCTACGAACTCCAGTGTTCATTACTACAGGAATGAGTGCTACTTCCGTAACAAACGATCAACGATACCATTGCCTCGCCGTTGTCAAGTATGCACTTCAGTTGGAGGGTATCATACCCATTATTAGCGTGATGTTCCCATTGTGTATTCTTCTAACTCATTTGGTCTTTCGCAATGTGGGTCCTAATACATGTGTTTTTGTATGTTTTTACTTTATTGTTTGCTATGTGGTCTAGTAGTGCCAAACCAACCTCTGGGATCAGTTTCATGTATATTGATTAAATAGTTTTTATTTATTCCGTATTCTGCCTTTGTTGCTTATTTTTTTCAGCAAGAATGTATAGTGTTTAAGAAGCAAAGTGAATCCGGTCTACACACATGAGTAGACGGCAAATTAAATGAAATAAATTCGCAATTTCTTTGCACTGTTCATCAGTCTAGATACTAAGCATTTCAAGTTAAAAATTTAAAATACGCACAATCATTCATTTAATTCTCTTTTTTTTATTCCAGTACAGAAGTTCAATATTTATATCGAATCCTTTAATCTTCTTCTAATCATTGTCTAAATGTTTCAAAAACATAAAACATATGGCTTTAATTCCAGTTTCCAAGTAAGATTTTTCTTAAATTCTTCTTTCTGCGTACGATTTAAAACTAGCTAAATTCTAATAGCAGACTGCGTTTGACAATCAATTAAATATATCAAAGGACTTTTATTGATTGAATACAGTTTTTTTTTTTCAAAGCTGTGAGTAGAACTAAATTCTTTTAATCCTGTTTTCAAGGTTTCAGAACAAAATCATAATTCCTACAGGCGAAAAACTGAGTAATAACGAAAGTTTTATGACTTCGATAAGAACAAATATCTTCAACTGATTTAAAAACTTGTCATCTTCATATGAAGATGATAAAAATTTATTGGATTACAAAACAGCTGTAAATTAGTTCTAATAAATAATACTGAAACGTCTTTCTTATTTCCAACTATCAACTACAGCAGTAATTTCACGAAATACCGCAATAATGTAGCTCTGAGAAGGACTTATTTTTAGTATGATGAGTACTTGCATTAAGTGAAGGATATAAAAATTAAACTCATAATCGAAAAATAAGCGATAAAAGAGCCTTCTGAAAACAACTTCCGATATATTTATGCAGCCTAATTTATTATCATATAATTAAGACACAATAACACGCCGAATAAATGTTGTTTGACTGGAATATTATCATATATTAAATTATTATACTGAATTATTATCATATATTAAGATAATATGGAACTTATTCCTTAGCTTTTCAATACATAGGGTGTTTATATATTTTAGAATGGTTTGTTGACTAAATTATAAAGAATATTTTTTCAATAGGCTCATTTCTAAAGACCCAAAGGTACAAA